AGTATGATTAAAGTTTTTTTAAACAAAATTCTTAACTATTTTTTGTGATTTTGAGAAATAATAGAAAATGTGATAAAGCAATTCCTTTGTGCCACCATTTAGATTGTGATCAGACATTTGGAAGAAAAACAAACTCATTTGCAGTGTTTCCAGCAGAGGGCAGCCATGAATACATAAGAACTTTACTCTCAACAAATATCTGCTAGATTTTTGCACTTAGTATTACCAAAATAAAATTTACCTTTTCTGATATTTTTTCATAGTCCTGGTTTCTTAGTGTTCGTATACAATTTAGTCTTTTGCTTTGGCATTTGGAAGTCTTGCATTTATTATTAATTTAAACATTAAACCAGCAAAAATCAAAAGATAATCATCACAATGCCTATGTAATGTGTTGGATAATATTATTTTTTAGAAAGCCATTTTTACATGGTGTTTGTTTTTTCTTTAGTAAAGGTACAGTGGAATACAGGTATAAGTAAGTGAGTATATAAGGGGTCTGTACTGGTAAATGTTGGTGCAATTTAAACATAAGTTATGTGGGTCACAGACTTTTGTAAAATGTTTTTAGCTAAGAATCTCTTGAATAAATTTTGCAAGACAATTTGTTATTTGGTGAAGAATTACTGGTCATTTTGGGAGGTTTGGATATCTTTGTTGCAGTCATAGTCATACTGACACATTTACACGTTGTGCTACTAATGCACATACTTGGTACCACGTATATGTTTATTAAAGTGCATGATCAGTCTTGTTAGAATTTTGTCAATTTTTTATGGGGAAAAATGCATACTCCTGCAGGTGAAAATGAAAACTTATTTTATTAGTAACAGTGAAAACTACTTTTTATATGGACCAGTAAAAAAAAAGTAAAAAGTGTTTCACTTGTTGCTATCTAAATATAGTAAGAGGGCCCTGTTATAAGTCCAGGTTACATACCTAAATAGTGCAATTTACAGCTAAGTAACTTGGGGGAGTTAATAGCCATAAGGAATAATGTAATTAGCTTGAAATCTTTTCCCCAACATACAGTTCAGACAAAGGTTTTTGCAATTAATGTAGCTATAAATCATAAGAAACAGTAAAGAGAAATAGCATGACCAGCTCCTTTCGAATCGCAGTCTCGCCGAAACCAACAAAGTCATTTGTTGCTTCAGGTTACATTTTATTTGCACACATTGTTCATGCATTTTAAATTAACGATCAAACCTTAACCCATTGGTTGGATAAGCAGTGTATTGTGTGGTGGAAAGTACTGAGATGTTCGGGCATAATTTGTAATTATAATTGAAGTGTCACAACATTGTCTACAAAAAGGCAAATTTGGTCTGAGCATTTGGAAAAAGAGGTCACTAAAATTTTTTACAAATACATGAAACTGCAAATATAGAACATGGAAATTGAGGTTTTACTATAATATCCAGTTGCTGGCCTCTCATGACAAGTACAGTTATGCTTGCTTTTGCGGGTTTGAGGCATTTTACTACTGTTGGAGATCCTTATGTAAATGAGATTTACTGCCTATATGTTGGATTCTATTCACATTCCCCTGCTAAAATCTAAGTTCTCTGCTCGTTGTCCATTTGTTAGTCATGAGTCCCTGAAATCTGGTCTTGTACCTTAGACTACTGCTATGACACCCTTGTTAAACTGCCCTGGGAATTGAGAGTACTTGACAGGCTTCTGAGTCTGAGTTAATCAATTTTCTTGCCCTTCTAGACTTACGTGCTAGTAAGTCATGGCAATGAACTAGAGTGCATAGAAATTATCTAGGGATTAGTGGTATTTTCTTTATTTGGTTTGGTTTATGTTTAGTTAATATTAGACATACTGGTGTAATTTCAAGATCTTATTAAAAAAGTCAATGTGGGATTATTATTCTAACATTAAGTACATGGTTTAAGACCTTACTTCACCTTATGTTGAAATATGAATACGTGCCTTTCTGCATTAAGATCAGACTGCTGTAATGTCTTAACTACTAGTGGAGTTTAAGGTTCTCCAGCTCATGTATAAGGTGCTGAATGGGTAACTCAGGGTAATCAGCCTTATTGCATTAGTAATTTTAGAAAATTAAAATTTAATTTTAGAAATTGTTGATTTATGCCTTCTTACTTGGCTGAAGACCCAGTTCCACAAAATGGGTAATTATCACTTCTATGGCACCCATTGCACAAATCTATTAGAGATTAAGCAACTGTTAACTTACAAAATTACCTTATTACTTTAGGTTTTATTAGTATTCTCCTAGTTGTCTTGGTTTGATTTACTGTGCTTTTTCATTTCATTTTTTGAAAAGCTTTCAGAAATGCTATTGCATTTCTATAGACTTCAACAGTAGTCTTGAAATGAATGTTCATTGTTTATTGGTGGTGAGTTGTCGCTTGAGGGGGGCAAAAAAGACATTTTAGCACCTTAAATAAAACTGTCTATGGAATATTCTACAACATATTTGTTTTGTCTCTTTATCATTATAATCTGCTCTCTATGTAATAATACAACTCCATATGTACAAACTAGGTCAGTGATATCCCAGCTCATACAGGGCACTTGATTCTTACAGCAACTTCTCTTCCACCTGATCTTTGTATATAGCTGTGCTCTCAAGTTTTTCTTTACTTGGGTACGGAGGTGTCTCCTGATGTTTCGCAAATTTGTGTTAGTCTTCCCTGGCGTGGCAGCTGGTCACACCTGTCACTCAGTGCTAGTTGCCATGGACACCAATCCATAGGAGACCTGGGAGACCTGGATTACCTGGAGGCAATATACTAGCTCGCCTGCTTCAGGTGGTTCAGGGATATATAGAGCTACTTGAATTCTGATATAGAGAAATTTGTCTCCACCATAGCGATGTGTCTATAGTGATTAGTTCTGCGACTGCTGGCACTGCCTGGTTGCTTGCCTGTGATGGCAACTGTAGAAATAGGGAAAAGGAACATAACTAGATTACATTTGTGTAGTTTAAAAAACCCAAACAAAACAGCAACAAATCAACCCGTTAAAGGGGCTTAATAAATGTTTTATAGAGGATAAGAACTCTGATTATGTTGTTTCAAAGTTAAAAAATATTCAATATTCAATAGAAAAGCACAGCTTTAAGTAAAACCACTTAAAAGTCTTGATGACTGTACAATTGACTAGCTATATTTATTGCTTTCTTTCAAATCCTCAGCATTTTCCATTCAAACTATTTCAATCATGCATTTTTTTTTACATTTTAAAAATCATCCTTTTTGTTGTCGATGGCTACCTTTATGATTGCTTATATAGATGGAACTTAACTTTCATTAGAAGAATTATCATCTTCAATTTATTTTCTTTCAAGTCTAAGAATACAAAGAAGACTTTGTTGTTGAAAAGCTGACTGACTTTAGTTTTATGTAACACTTTCCTTTTCAGGATACCAACTGCATACAATTGCAAAAGGTTTTTACAAACAAGCACATGCAAGGTCTTGTTTGGCTGCGCCTGCTACTTTCTGACTGTAAACTTATGTAAAATGATGAAAGGTCATTTGAGGTCCTCTTTATTGCTGTGTGAAGAAAAGAAATACAAAAGAGGGGAAATTTTAAGAAGCTCAATTACTTGATTACTAGATATTTAAAGTAAAAACTAGCAGGGATATTATTACTTTAGTCATTTTTGATGTTGCGTCTTGCATTCTGAGTTGATCCTGTATTCCTAGAGAGTTCCACACACTTTTTATTACCAACAGGAAAAATACAACAAATAAGGCATTTTTCATAATTATATGACTCATGATGGTCACTTACAACATTGATTAAACGTAATGTATACAGCAAATTTGTTAAAGATGTACATCAGACCCCATGTAGTGTTTTCTATTAACTTTATAACTAATAAAATGTGATCTACCTCACTCATTGCACAATTTATGCTTAGACTTTTCACATTTTAATTCCCAGGTTTGGTTAACGTATTAAATGCAATTTGAACTGGAGCACTTCTGGCTTCTTGCAGAATAGTTCCACTTAACATGCTAGGATTATAAGTCAAGCAAGTGAGTTGTTAAGATACATAGCCAAATCTTAAAATGCCAAAATGTTACTGTACTTAAGTATACTAAAAAGTTTATTTTCAGAAACATGGCAGTTCATTTGGTGGGTTTTATGGAATAGTAAATATAAATAAAGGCTAAATTTTTAATAAGAAATTCCCTTTTGTTTCTAAAGATCCCTTGAATATTCTGAGGTTGGGGGAGTCCCTGGATAGCAGCTGCTGGTCTAAAGAAAAGCTCCACTGGTTCATGAATTTATAGTCTGTTAGATTGCCACATGTCACTCTGGATGCCCTTTCCAGTTGAAGTTGAAGAAAGGAGCATTGGGGGACTTGTAGAGTTCTGTCTTTGTGCTGAACAGCAGCAGTGTTGCTTGTGTACATGTTTGATGACAACAAAATTGTAGATGTATCTTAAATCCTTTAATTAAAGAAAGGTACTTTGTAGAATTATTTTTTTTGATCCCTTGTGCTTTTAAGTGTAATGCTACATTCCCTATAGCATTGCTCTATGATCTTTGTGCTATATTTCTGTTACTTTGCTTAAACTTTTTTTTCTTCATAGATGTTTCAGATTTTTTTTACTTTTTTATTTTGCAAATCATTTTGTAACAGGGTATTATTATTCGCCTTTCTAAGTAATTTATGAAGGTCCATCTTCAGAAATCCAGATATACAAACTGGACTTACCCTGTACTTTGCTAGAATTTAGAAGTTTTCTTCAAGCTATTTTCCAAACCTGCAGGTTACTGTATTTTGAACATTTCTTAATTATGTGTGTGCCCCTAGTATTATTGCAGTGCCATTGCTGTGCCTTAAAGTTTACCTGATCCAAAAAATGTTGGTATTCATAAGACATTTTGAAATCTGTAACTAAATCTGTAACAGAAGCAACACTTCTGTATAGAATTCATTGCTATGCACTGTCCTGATGTAGTGGTGTTTGTTGTGCTTATGAAGTTTGCCCTCTTTTTGTTTTTCAGAAACCAAAAAAGCCACCTCCACCAGCAAAAATCTCAGGTAAATCAGATTATAAGCCTTGATCTACACAGATGGAAAACAAATTGTAGTTACAAAATATTTTCTCAGAGTTATGAATTCTTATATTCTTATGTTAATCCAATATAAAGATTAGTTCTTGTGCATGCTGTAAATATGTCCCTTTGACTTGAAACTGCCTAAATAAATACAAGAAGATCCAGAATAAATTACATTTTAACCTGCTTATGAATCACAGATTCCAAATGTATTGTCATTATTCATTAAAAAGACTGGATTTGGAATTTACAACTCGTGTTTATAGTCAATAACTTTTTGTTTCTGTTATTGTTTTGTTTGCTGTTGGAACAACCAGTATGTAAAGAATGTAATCAGATGTCTCCCTACATAATGAAGGGAGTGTCAACATTTTGAAATCTAGATCCCCATTGCATGGTTTCTTCTTCTGCTCTAGCAGTTTAGCAATGCTTACAGTACAAATCGGATATCTTTTTTAATTACTTCAATTAAATGCCATTTTTTGGGTTGCCTTCTATGTCCTGTAGAAAAATCCCCCTTTCCTGTTTAGTGTCATTTAATTTTAGTTTATACCTACACTTCAATGTTTTTTACTCATCAAATAAATGACTGAGTTTGTTGAGTGGTGTCTGTACCTTTTCTTTCTTTTATGCTCACACAGGAAGTAAGCACAGGAGCTTACATACCACACTTAAGATTCACAGATAAACGTTAATTACTTTTGCTTGAGTTGCGTGTTGCAGCTCTGACAGAAATCAAGGGGTGAGAAAAAACAACATAATTAAGGGAATGTTTCGATTTTCAGCTCCAAAGCCTGAAGTTCCAAGTGGTGACAAGAAGCCTCTTCAAGCCAAGCTTGAGGAAAAAGGTAAAGACTGTTTTGCCAGTTTTATTAGATGTACAAATCTGTGAATGGTAATGAAACTAGAAAATATCTCGGATGTACTAAGCCGTCATCACATTTTAGAGGGCTAAACTTGGAAGCTGCTGCTTTTAAGGAAAGATTACCTCATAATGCAAAGTCAGATCAAATATGTTCAACGGGACGAATGTATTTATATCAAAAAAACAAAAATATTTTTTGAGGACACCAGTTTTTGTCTGAAATGTTAAGGTGCTAAGAGGTGCTACAAAAAGCTTTAGTGATATTGACAAAAAAAATCCCAATCATTATAGTGGTCCTTAGAGAATACATGAGATTTCAGACAATCCATCAGATGTAAAAAATGTATGTAATGAGAACTACTGAGCACTTAACCTGAGTAATGCAAGTTGGGTGTGAGGTTCATCTTTGTTTTAAGCATCCTTTGATTTTTGTTTTTGTGAATTACAACCTACGTAGGCAAAATAGTGAAGTGCCTGTTACACTGTGTCTTGTATCGAATCCATTTAATGAATCAAAAATATGAAGGGCTGCACTAACTTCTCTTTCAGAAAAAGTATTCCTATTTCATCACGCCTATACTGAAATATTCTCCTGGCAAACTGTCCCTTGTATTTTTTTAGCAACAAGCTCATTTTACCCACTCACCTCACCTTGCATTGAGGTCTCTGCATTAAAGGTGTGCTTGGACAAGCTCTGTTTAGAGTTGCAGGAAAACAGGTCTTCATGTTACCTGCACTAAGAAACTTATTTGGAAAACCACATTCTGTTAGCAAATGTTTTTAAATGTGTTATTGCATAGGTAATAGCTGCATTTTAGTTTTAAGGTGGATAATTGGGTGGCCTTGGGGGGGGGATGAAAATGTTCTAATGGTGTGGATGACTTCAGGGAAGAAGATGATGATTTGTGGGAGGGCACAAAGAAATGTGAAAATGTTGTGAAGATTTTAATTAGTTTAATCTTTCTTTTTTACTTTAAATTTAAAAACTATAAGAAAAAATATATAAACCAGGTATATTTCATCTTGAGAAGCTGGAAGATTTTAATTAAAATATTGAAGAAATTAGTTTAAGAAAAGGTTGTTATCTGTGTATTGAAGTGTTTTTTGTAATGGACGCACAGGAAAGGGTTAGTGTTTCTCGAGCATCCTGTAAGGGTTTGTGTTGACCTATTTTTCTAGTAACAATGCATTATTTTGTATGCTTCTTGTATCGCGTCCCCATTATCTGACCATTGAGTATAAATGGTGCTTTTGTATTTTACTTATAAACCTAAAGATACTGCTGAATTATTTCATAACGTTCATATTGATTCCCACTATACAGTTTGCTTTAGAAAACCTACAGTTTTTTCACTCAGTAGTGGCCCAGTTTGCACTCGTAGCTTCTTTATCCACCACTGCAGCTCAAACTGACCTGGAGGGTCTTAAAATCTACACCCTGGTACATCTGGGCAGTGAAGGCAGACTAGCTCTGCTACACAGTCCACATTGATGCCATTTGAAGGGTGGACTGCCTTTCCAGATTTAGTGCCACAATTACAATCTGGATACATGTTTTTGGATAGTAGCTTTAGATATATAGCACAGTCATTTGCAGTTAAAAGTAAAGGAATTGCTTGAAATTTGAAATGTGCAAAATCTCCATCATACCCAATGGGATGTTGCCTGTCCTCAGCCTTTTCTGTCACCGTATTCACCCAAAATGTGCATTCTGAAAAAGAGGTGTACATAAAAACAAATTGGATATTGGCTGGACTCTGCTTTAGGTTTCATGATAGTTTTATATACCTGATTATTGTGTGGAGCATTACAGTAATCACTTCCGCATAATATGTTCTGCTGTGCCTTGGAGTTTGTTGTTCATAGGGGGTGAATTAATTTCCTTAGGCAGGTACTAATAAGAATGCAAAATATTTTTTTCCTCTAATTGGCACCGCAGTAACAGTGGAGTTAGCTTTGCTGCCTCACAGGTTTGTAGATCTGGGTTAGATTTCTGCCTCAGGCATCTGTTTGTAGTTTAAATGGGTTTTCTTCTGGTGCTCAAGTTTCCTCCTGCTTCCAAAGACAGAATGGTTAGGCTTAACTGCCTTTTCTATATTCTTTGTGGGCCTCTGGTGTCCCATCCAAGTTATCACTGAAAAAAGCAACTTTCCTTCTAAGTAGTTATCAGTATAACAAGTGATGTCCTTTACTAATTTAAAGAGAGCGGAGGGGGCACAGGATTCCTTTCTTGATACTTTGTTTTGCTACACACAAACCATCCATCTATTCATCTTCTAAGTGCTTCATCAACTTCAGGGTCACAGGGGAGCTGGAGCCTACCATAGCAAACAATGTGTGCAAGGCTGGGTATATCCTGGACGGCCTTTACTGGTCAATCCATCGCAGGGCATGCACACACTCACACCAGGGCCGATTTCTTCGGGAAGCTAGTTAATCTACCGTTATGTTTTGGCACTGTGGGAGGAAACCGAGCAATCCGAGGGGGACCCTACAAGCTCCACGCCGATAGCACCAGAGATCCGGTATTGAGCCAGTATTGAGAGGAAGCAATGCTAATCACTGTGTACCTGGTACTTGCATGTTTATTTCCTGTAAGACAAATCAACAAGAATTTATTATTAACTTAATCTAAAACTTGCTTCAGGTCAATTCATTGATGTCTGCCTGCTTTCAAAGGTTAATTAAAACATGCATCACTTTTATGTGATTCTGTACAAATAGTAGGAATAAACTTAATTTATGTAAGAATGTGAATTTCTACTTTTCTTTGTATACAGAAGTCTACATACTGAAAGCCAATAGAATGCAACAATAAACCAGTTCATTTGTTGGGTTTTTAATTCCTATCATTTTATATTTTGTAATTACACATATATATATATAATGTATCTTGTTTGGATAACTGAAAATGGTGACTTTGTACTGTGTTCTTAGCAGTCTGTTATGTGTACTGCAATTGTACATTTAATACAATTTTAACACTGATATGACCTCCATTTTGTCATGGTTTTGTGATCATCTTGTGCTAGAAATATGTAAAATGCAAGTTTTGTAATTCTCTGTATGGTGCATTACTTGTATCATTGCTTTTTCTATTAGAAATTTGAAATGTTTTGGTGCTTACAAACTCTCTTTTAGTGATTCTACAATCAGGACATTTGATATTGATTGGAGAAGTAATGAGGCTATCACTTATAACACTGAAAACTCATGTGCACCCTGTAAGTTTCAGTGACTGCTTTGGCATGGCATACCATGACTGCCTCACTTGCCCCCCTGTAGTTCTTGGCACAGCTGTTCTGTGCAGCTTGGAAAATCTCTGTCATAGTCAGCTATTGACAGTGCCTACTCAGACACCCTACAGGTTTAGTTTTGAAGCATTTAAACATTTTGGCAGTGACATTTGTCTACTTTTTGTATTCATAGTGGCTAATGGGTCATTGTTTCACAAACTGCACACATGATCATGCAAACCTTTACTGTTTTATGTTTACTTATGTTTACGTTTAAGAAACATTTTTATATTGTAAATAAATAATCCTATAAAATGTAATACTGTAAGTAATAAGTAATGTAGAAGTTTAAGAAAGTATTTTCAGATTCGATTTTATTCTAGACAATTACCATAACACCTCTATGGGCATGCAATCTTTTCCTTTGTGCAATCAGAAATTTTCTCTGTTGTTCTACTATTAATACTATACTAAGCTATTCTGTCTAAATTCAGAATATATTAATGTTCCCCTACTTAAATTATTCATCTGATCATTTATATTTTGAAGGTGCCAAAACTCAAAATGTATTCACTGAGCTGGCGCCTATCTGAGGTACTCTGCTGACCAAGAGACCTCAGTTTGTTGGTGTTTTCCTTTAGTCAGCAGATTTTCTGGTGAATCTGAGTGAGACTACAAAGAGCAAATAAATGTGACTTGGACTTGAACCTTTTTCAGTTGTGCGTGTATAAACATGTCCTTTCCTTTATTATTTCAAAACCTTGCCACTTTTTGTTTTCACTTAGCTGTTGTTTGATCACCACAGCAAAAGTACCTACGTTCACAACTTGCAGGCCTATTTGTTCTTTTGTACCCACGCAATCAGCATTGAAGTGCATAGCATGTTACTGCAAAAACCACTACGTGAATATGCAAGTGTTAGCATGATGCTTTGAATTCTGTGGCATTGTAAGCCAGAAAGTGAACTCTGATCCAGCCGAAACACAAAGGGCTTATCATCCCCAAATTATCTGTTCTAACCATTAGTTATTGGATTTTTAAAAAAGTTTTTCATTATTCCTTCGTAGTAGTAAAATAATTATACATATGCAATATATTCTGTTTATCGGTGTGCTCACACTGTTCCTTACCAGGATGTTCTGGAATATGTGATATACATTTAAAGTGAAATGCAATATTTTACATTTCCATTTTGCTGTTGCTGGAAATGAGAACAAAAGAATGGTGCACAGAAATTATACTTGGAAAAGACAGTCCTGCAGAAGTGTGAAATTCTGTCTTCATAACTGTTTCGGTCTGACTTGACTCAAGCTGTCTGTTCATTTATTCAATTCTCAGCTAATGTGACAAGTGAAATAATGCAGAAACCTTTGCTGATTAAACCTCTAGGCTTCTATCACTTTTAGCATTTGACCTTTTCACTTTTGAAGAACTTTCAGTTAATCGGAACAATCTCCTTGTATTCAAACAGACACACAGACATATTCTCTTAATAGTCATGTCCATGTATATTTGTCTTGCACAAAGCTTCTCTGTTTTACATAGGAAGGAATGACATTGTTCTATTTTTTAAAATAATTTAATTAATATTTAGTAGTTTCTGTGGAAAATGTTTTACTTTAGCTTAAATGTTGCCAGTCTTGGAAAATAAGACTTAGATTTTATCAAAATACTCTTCTTTCATTCTCCACAATTTGGTGACTGCTATTATTTTTAACTATCCTTCCTGTGCCTTTCCTGGTGGTAGCAGATATCTCTGAAATGATTAATCTTTTTAAGGTATTTATTGTAAGTATGATTGCTAGCACATTTTTCTTTCTGTGATCTGCAGAATTATGAGGTCTTATAAAAAGCTATTTTCTTTTTTCAAAGATTAACAGTAAGATATTTTAATATGGCATTTGTTGGGAAATTAGCAGTTTGATAGTTTGACCTGTTTTTAATAATAAAAGGGCATGAAAATGGAAAACTAGTATATTATTATAACAAAATAAGGGGCAGGAAATAACCAATAGTTACACTGTGTTCCTTTAGTCTACAGCATAGCTTTAATGGAGTAAATAATTAAGTTCAAATTTGGAGAAAATAAATATTAATAATAACACAACTATATGACATACTATAGACAAATATGTGAAAAGAATGTGTTCCTACTTACTACAGATGTAGAGAATTCTTTAATTCTGTCACTGTAATCTAAACACTACGAAACGCATAAAATGCAGAATAAAGAAAATCTAAGAAAAATGCATCTTCCCCAGGACTAAATGTCATCTCTAAAACACAGATGCTCACAGGTCAATGGAAAGGTTTCCTTATTCTAAAAAAAGTGTCACTAAAATAATAGAGAACATTTTATCCTGAGGATACCACAATATAAAATAATCAGATTTTCCTGAAATAAATAAGACGACAAGCTCTCTTCTAACAACAGTTAATTACCTAAACATAGTATGGTTCCAGGGCTGGTTAGAAAAAGGAGCTTTCCCAGTCACAGTTCTGGAGATGATGAATTTTAATAACGATGTTTTCTGTGTTCTTCCCTTCCTCTGTTCCAATTTTATGCTGTGGTCCATTCCATTGGAGGGTATCTTAATGACTTTCCTTGGAATGGCCTGTTATTGTTGAATGTTTATTCTTTAATACAAGTCCTAATGACATACAGTACAGTGAACACACTTTGATCATGTTTTCCCCTTTGTTGACTTGCTTCCTAATCCCAGGACAGGTAAATACTGCTAAACCATTAACCATTCTTCCAAACATTCTGAATAATGTAATGTTGGTACGCATTGTGAAACCCCCCAGTCATAACGATATCATAATTAGAAATGTCAACTAGCCCCAAGTGGAAACGGAAAAGGTCTTTATGCACAGAATTTTTGCAGATTAATTAATTAACTGAAATTAAATGAACTAAAATTAATGTTTCTGTTCTCTTGGAGGGTGTTAAATGAAGTGTTGTCATAAAAATGGAATTCAATCTTAAAAGCAAATCATTGGGTATTATGCAAATAACTTGAGCATTCCAATTCATTATTTTCCTCTAGTTACACCGAAAGACAGAATTTGGTGATGAAAAATGTTTTCAGGTACACTTTTGAAGGTGAACTGACTCTTGCACACGTTTAGTACATAGATTTATTAAGCATGGAAGAACTGTATTGCACCTAACCAGAATTAGGTAGAGACTTTGAAAAATAAATCTTTCAAAATATTTTAGAGGTTGTATATTAGAAATATGGGCTTCTTCTCAGTGCAGTGAAGACCGTTCCTCAGTAGTTCATCCTCTAAAAATCCGTCTAACAATCACAGTGAAACGATTAATAATTGCTTACACTTATATAGCGCTTTTCTGGACACTCCACTCAAAACACTTTACTGGTACTGGGGACTCCTATCCATTACCACCAATGTGCAGTATCCACCTGGGTGATGCAAAGGCAGCCATAGTGCATCAGTATGCTCACCACACAGCAGCTATCAGTGGGGAGGAGAACAGAGTGATGAAGCCAATTCATAGATGGGGATTATTAGGAGACCATGATTGGTAAGGGTTGATGGGAAATTTGTCCAGGTCACCGGAGTAACACCCCTACTGTTTTCGAGAAACACACTGGGATTTTTAATGACCGCAGAGAGTCAGGACCTCGGTTTTATGTCTCAGTCTTTGATATAAAGTTGCTTAAGAATAAGATATGACATCACTACCATCATCTGCATCAAAAGGGAGAAAAATCAGTCAACAGGGTTTGATCATTTGTTTTTTACCCCAACATGTAGGTTTTAGTTAAACTAGGTATATAGAAAAAGTTTGCACTCATGATTGCAAAAGGTGTATAATTTCAGATATAGGATATAGCTAGACTTTTTAAATAAGTTTATTTTTTAAACCCTCAGGATTATCTGCATGGTAACACATGTGACAAAAAATCTTTATCTTATTTGATTTTATTATTTAATTTATTTAATTTGCTTTGTACCAGTGGAGTCAACAGTTACAAACTCAAAACAAATGCAAACTAAAACATGAACATAGAATAATCAGAGGGATATTCAGTGTAAAACTGAAAGCATGCTAATGTCTGATTTTTTTTTTAACTTCATAGGAGACAAACCAGTGCCAGACAAACCTGCAAAACCGGCTGCTCCTATAGTTCCACCCAAAAAGCCAGCTGTCCCTCCAGGAAAGGGAAGCGTTCTGCTTAGAACTGGAACTGTACCTCCTAAACGGCCTGACAAGCCACAGTTACCTCCACCTGGACCCAAGTGAGTGTCTTCCCGTTCTTTCTAAGTGTAACGTGATGTCTAAGAGGTACTGTGCTTTACTCAGGCCTTAGTCCTTGGAAGAATTAGCTGTTCATATTTATTATTTTCAGAGTGTTTTTAACCAGTTTTTTAATTAAACAACTTTTAAATTCCTTTAAAATTCCATAAAAAATGGCACAATCATCATTTTGCTAAATCTGCAGTGAAGACCGTTCCTCAGTAGTTCATCCTCTAAAAATCCGTCTAACAATCACAGTGAAACTATTAATAATAATAATTAATAATTGCTTACACTTATATAGCGCTTTTCTGGACACTCCACTCAAAACACTTTACTGGTAATGGGGACTCCTATCCATTACCACCAATGTGCAGTATCCACCTGGGTGATGCAAAGGCAGCCATAGTGCATCAGTATGCTCACCACACAGCAGCTATCAGTGGGGAGGAGAACAGAGTGATGAAGCCAATTCATAGATGGGGATTATTAGGAGACCATGATTGGTAAGGGTCGATGGGAAATTTGTCCAGGACACCGGAGTAACACCCCTACTGTTTTCGAGAAACACCCTGGGATTTTTAATGACAGCAGAGAGTCAGGACCTCGGTTTTATGTCTCATCCGAAAGACAGCGCCTGTTTTTACAGTATAGTGTCCCCGTCACTATACCCATTAGAACCCACACAGACCGCAGGGTGAGCGCCCCCTGCTGGCCCCACTAACACCACTTCCAGCGGCAACCTTAATTTTTCCTAAGAGGTCTCCCATCCAGGTACTGACCAGGCTCACACTTGCTGAGCTTCAGTGGGTTGCCAGTTATGAGCTGCAGGGTGATGAAGCTACTGTAGTTTGAATAAGATGTTGTCATGAATGGAGTTTTGTATATTCTGTTTACAGTGACTCTCGTGGGGAGCAATGCACTAGCACAACAGTTATGTTGACATGCCAAAACATGTTGTAATCTATCCAAATTTTGAGAACGCTTATTTGTAAACTTTAATTTTCAAAGTTTAGGAATTTCCTAAGCAGATTTTGGAAACATTATGCATTAAGAAGGGCCTCCGTATCTTTAATCACACCAAAATGGACTGTTTTCTTCAGTGCATTTTGTGAAGGCAGCTGTTGACCTGAGCAACAGCTGAAAACTGCAGTTTTATATTAAGCTCCTAGGAATTCAAGTTAATTTATAAAACTGCACCAAGCACAGCATTTTGTTATACATGGAGAGAGAAAATTGCACTTCATCTTTCAGTGCCTATTATACAGTAATGATTGCTTGCTCCATAAGTATTCAGCCAAGTCAAGTCCTCTATTTCTTCTAAAGTAATTGCTAACTAGATTGCATTATAACAATATAATTCAAGTTTGTGCATTTGTAAATCCATAGTAAACAATACCTTAGCCAGCACTGAAATTGCAGTAATAAAATGTGTTTTACAAAATTGGCTAAATCTGTTACCTTCGCTGATTTACAGGATTTTTAAATAGCTATTGTGTTTTATAGCGGCTTAAAAGGGAATACTAGGTGTGTATGCTGTGAATCTAGGTGCTTTAAGAAAATGGAAGGTATTGATTGAAAGTATTCCAAAATCACAGAAAAATAACTGACACCTTACCTTTAGACCAGTGCAACTAAGAATTATATAATGGAAGAAACCAGATGCTTACAAAATCTGTTCTGATTCCTTTGTATAATGTTGAATATAAATTATAAAATACCAAAAGTGATAGATACATTATTTAAGTGTCTTGAACCTTGTCACTTTGAAATGAAAACATTGTTTCATGCAGTGGTTATACAAGTATTATAGGACTTTTGCTGATACTTTTGATCTGGTTATTGAGCTACATGAGCAGAAAAATGCTGGTTGAACTCTCAGTTCAACAGATATGGCTACAGAGCCTCAGAAGGTATTCACCCCCTTGATTTTTTTTGCTTTTTGTTCCTGTTACACCTCCAAATTTTATAACATTGGAATAATTTTTTCTCCCTTCAATAACACAAAAAAATAAACTCATCTATGAATCTAAAAATATTTTTTTATTCAAGAACAACTGTTTCTCCGAAATAAAAGATTTATGTTTCTCAATTACAAAAATATTCACCACCCAGTCCTCGAATCAAAACTTAGTACACAGTCCTCTTAGCAGCAATTACAGCCGTGAGTTTTCTTGGGTATGTCTGTATGAACTTTGCACATTTAGATTGTGGAATTTTTGTCCATTCTTCAATGCAAATTTGCTCCAAAAGCAGTTTTCAGGTCATACTACAGATTTTCAATTGCATTCAAGTTTGGGCTCTAGCTGGGCCATTGCAGAATACTAACTTTCTTTTTTACAAGCTATTCCTTGATAGTTTTTGCTGTGTGCTTTGGGTCATTCTCCTGCTGGAAAATGAATCTTTGCCCTAAACACAGATCTCTGCTTAACTGAAACAGATTCTCCTCAAGGATTTGCCTGTATTTGGCTCCGTCCATGTTGCCCTTGATGCAGTTCCTCCTACTGAAAAGCAACCCCAGAGTATGATGCTGCCACCACCATGCTTGATGGTAGGGATGGTGTTACCTGGGTGTTTGGCTGTATTTGTTTTGCGTCAGACATAGTGCTTGGATTTCAGGCCAAAGAGCTCAACTTCAGTCTCATCAGACCACAATTGTTTTCCCTGAAAGGTTTCAGGTTTTGTCACATGGTTTCTAGCAAACTCCAAGGGTGACTTAATGTTGGCCTTTCTCAGAAGTGGCTTCCTTCTAGCCACTCTCCCAAAGAGGCTGAATCTGTGAAGTGCTAAAGAGATTGTTGATGTCTGGACAGTTTCTCCCATTTCAGCCAAAGAGCTCTGCAACTCTATCAGTGTTATAGCTGTTCTCTTGGTCACTTCTCTGACAACTGCCCTTCTTGTCCGGTTGCTCAATTTGGTAGGGCAGCCTGATCTTAGTAGTGTCTGGGTTGTGCCATGTTTTTTCCATTTTGTTATAATGGACTTCACAGTGCTCCTAGGAAGTTTCAAAGCTTTGGCAATCTTTTTATAACCTTCTCCAGCTTTTTTCCTCTTAACTTAATCTCAAAGTTCCATGGGTAGCTCCTTGGTCTTCACGACAGCAGGACTGATCTGATCTGCTGTTTTAGTTGAGACCTCACAGTCAGTGATATTTATTGTGCAATCAAGCAATTGAACACAGGTGGATTCGAAATGAATGCAGCCGTACCTTGTTAACGTATTTAGTATGATCTCTCAAGATAATTGAATACCTCACCCAATTTAGGTTGTTAAAACAAAGGGAGTGAATACTTATCAGTTAAGTCATTTTCAGATTTTTATTTTTAATATAATTCTGAAGACATCTAAATACTTTATTTCATTTTAACATTATAGAGAATTACTTCTACAGGAGTGGAAAAAATACCATTTAAATATGCTTTAATTTGACTTTGCAACACAGCAGAATGATAAATAAAAAATGGGGGGTGAATACTTTTTGAAGGCACTGTACATGCATAATTTGTGCTACAGTGAATAAGATGCTGTTGGTACTTTTCATTAGGGAAAAGTTCCCATAGTTGTGGCAAGAACATAACCAAGGCTTCCTTCTCTCACTGTAGAGCAAAATCAACACCATTTTTAAACTTCCTTGTTGAACTACAAAGTGCAGAATAACTTTTGGTATATATACATCATAATTAAGACTTGCTAAGATTTTTGAAATACAGAGGTACTGTAGGTGCAATAGCTGTAGACTTTAGAGGCATTGTAGTCTCCTAGTCTTTTTTTCTAAATTGGTATGACTTCTTTCTAATTTGTCTGCAGTTTTATTGGATATTTACATAAAACAAATTACATTACAGTTAAAAAATAAATGAGTTTAAACAGTTGAATTTAAAATAAAGGTTTTGTTTGCCGCGGAGAGGACATTCAGTTAAAAACTCTATGCAGATAGCAGCCCAGCAAATGAACCCAAGGCCCCAGTGCTGCAAAGCAGCTGTGCTCCCCATTGCACCACAATTATTTAAATGTCATGTGTTTTATAATTGTAAACATTTAATTGCCAACACTTTATTTTCAAATGTTATTAAGGTTATATGAATGCATTGGGTCTATATGTTATCATAGAGGGACAAATGTATTCAATAATACAATTTTGATAGTGACGAGTCACATTCATTTCAATTGCAGCTATATACTGTATATCAAATATATGTGCATATAAAAATTTGAAATTAAAAAGGTAATAATTTCCAATAATTTAATTTTTGAGGGAAATGTTACATAATGCCATTATCTGTAGTACCACCAGCAAAGGCATTTTTTTTTATTATGGCTTGGTTGTTGTATTGCTAATACAGTGTTTTTTATCAATATGTTATTCCTTATCCACCTTGGTCTTTTGTTTTCTGTTTCTATAAGAAACATCTTACATTCTTGATGATACAATGTGCTTTTAAATAAATTATAATTAAACCAACTTTCTGAGAGAAGGAAATCAACAAAGATACTACAAAGCAGAGTAACCATTTCAGAAACCTTGTCTGTGGTCCCTCCATTCTTTTAGTCTTGTTTGTTCTCTTAAAGAACAGCACTTTTACTTAATCTTTTTCTAAAACCTTTTGGCTTTTTATTTTTTCCTTTATGTATCTTTTTCTTGTGTTAGGCAAGTAATTTGAATTAACTGTAAAGCTTTGGAGAAAATGAAACATGAACTGCAGTCAGTAGGTGACAATCATATGCCTTGTAACAGAAGCCTGGAGGGTGGTATAATAAATGACTTGTTTTAAAATATAAGCATCTAATCTGTTTCTGTTTATCAAAAGTAGTTGCTTAAAGTGTTTTTTTTTTCTGTTTTGTAGGCCAAATGGAGAGGTGCCTTCTATACGGCCAAAGTCTGAATTTGAACCAACACCTCCTAGCAAACCAAAGACATTGTCTGGTGATTGGGGTGATAAAGCAGTTGAAATAGGTATGTGACAAATGAAAGAGTGAAAATTGTAATTGTAATTTGATTTCAGATCAAGATTTTGTTGTCTAATTTCTATTATGTAACCTTTGTGGCTGCTTTTTATAACTGTTTTCTGTGTTTTTGGCAATGACAATATAGCTGATTGTTGCTAATGTGACACTTAAATGAGAATAGATTAATATTGACTTCATAACATAACTAGAAATCTAAACAGAGAAAATACTGCATAATTAGTTGAACATTAAAAGAGATTTTCAACCAATTTATTTCTGGAAACAAATATACAAAATACTTTCTTAAAGTAGCAGACATTACTTTATGAGAAATACAACATGGAGATCTGAAGGTCAGGGGTCAATATTGTGAGTAACACTTTTAGAACCACTACTTTTGTATTTCTTAAGAGCTATCTTTGCCAGTGCTGTGTGACCCTTGATCATCTTGAAGTCCCAGGCCTCTTTAAACTTTGCCTCATTGTCGGTACAAACAAAAAACAGCAATCACAATACTTAGAGCAAGAAATGAAAACTAGATGCAGAAATAGAAAGAATTAAAGCCTCAGAGGTTTTACCTGTTTAGTTTCTATAACGTTGTCCTTTGTGATCAGTTATTTGTATTATTTTTTCCTGGCAGTCTTTACTTAACAGGAGCTGTGATTTCTCAATTTCTTACAAGAAGCTTAGAGATGTAAATTAAGAGAGAATTCTTGAGTTCTTTTTCTACAGTTTGGATCAATAATATATGTCATGCTGTGTGGTTCAGAGGATTCAGTTACAATTTGTTGTCACCCTTAATAGAAAATGTAGCCCCTTAAAGTATATAAATGAAAATGTCTCCAATACAGAAGAATGGTAGTGGTCAGTATTTCCTCTTTATTTTGCTTTTATTTTTTAAAAAATTGATGACGCACTAGGAAGGCAATACTCTAAACTGAATCTACTAAGCTTCCAACTTAAATCTGTTGTGCTTTTGTAATGTTTTCAAGCAGATGGTGATTTACCCAGTTTCTCTTCTTTCTGTTGTGAAATAATACTAGTAATATAGTAACATACCACCTTCACTGACAAACCTGTATAACCAAACAACATATTCAGTAAATATGAATAACAAATTATATTGTTTAATGAATGAAGTTTTAATTTTATTGATTTGCTATCGTGACATTTATTAAATGCTCATACTGGTCTCCTGTAATGCTAGAATAAATGATACTCCACATCAGGGACTGGTGTGGTCATAAAGCTATTTTTCCACCTACACAGTACATTTTACACCATTCATCTCTGGATTGAAACTTTAATCAAACTTTTGTTTACTTCTACTCCTCCATTTTGCTTGACAAAGTTTGAGAAACTGTGGCCATCAGGCCAGCACCCTGCAAGTATCCTATGATTTTGTATTGGAGGGCTTTTATTATTTCTGTTATTAAGCTTGTATTGTATTCTTTGTACATAACCAGCAAAAAAAAATCAGATGTGTAAAAGTGCTTCAAAAATGTTTCACGTGCAGGTTCGCCAGAAAACTGGAAAATAGTTCTATTTGTCATGCAAATGATCAGACAAATTAGTTTGAATTGTATACACTGTAACCCCTTCATTATTAATTTATTGTTGAAAATATGAGACTTTTTGTCCTTCCTGCAGATGGTTTAAGTATATTTTGAAATTCTGTGAAACCTGTTGCATTGCCTTTTACTTCTTATGAAGGCGAATGATACAATGAGGAAATGGAAGAATGGTGTACTGTGAAGATGTGTTAATAATCTAAGAAATGTTTTGTGAACTTGATCTCGAGGGAAGTTTTGTGAAAGTATCTAGATATTTTTTTCAAATGTCTTTTGAGGTAGCACTAACGTTTTGCTAAAAGCCATGCTACATCAAAGAGCCACTAAAAGGTTTCCATTTTCCATGAAAGAGTTCATGCCCGAATGAATCACTTCTTTGAAACATTTTTCATAAGAGTCTTTATTTTTTAACCTCAGTCAACTTGGTGATAAAGTTTTATTGTTTTTTAACATTTTGTAGTATTTAGGTTGAGAAATGTCGAATGGTATAGCCTTTCCTTTATACAGTGTTTGATGTTGCATTACTTCTTGAATATGTTTACCTAATATGCTAAGAAAATTATTGTAACCATCTTTGATAAAATTGCAAAGAAGTGACAGTTACTCTAAGGTTTTGCAGATTTATGTGCTGCAGTCCCCTTTGTGCATTTATAGTGTATGCTTCTGCTTATAAATAACCTGACCTGAATCCAAGTGCCATAGAAGTGCAGCTAAAAGCAGAAAAGCTTATTATTGTTCACTGTAGTGGTGAAGTTATGAATGCATATGGAATGAATGGGGTTTCCTTTTGCCAAAGACAATATTTAGTTGTTATAGCGTGCATGTTTGAGTTGTTAGGGAAAAAAACAGGACCTAGTATTCAAATCTATTCTTTAATTTGTTTTTTGTGCATATTAGGTTTGAATGAAAACATTTGTAGTTACAATACATGTAAAGAATGCTGTGTTTTTGCAAATGTGTTCTTTTATTTCTACAGATCTTATAAGTTTTGATGAGCTCAATTCTACCTCAGGAAAGCTCTCCCACCCAACAACAAGTAGACCAAAGATGCCTGGAAGAAGGCTGCCCACACAGTTTGCAGGGGGCCATTCAGTGAGTGTCTTTCTGTGTCTGACAACTACAAAGCAAAAGAAAGTTCTGTGTTGTTTACCTGTAATATTTTATGTAGTGTTTTACATTGAGGTACAAATGATTGAGATCCATACATACAAAGAGCATACCAATTGGTTCCTGTAAGAAATACTATGAATTCCACATGGTGGAATGGATGAACAAGCTCAAAATATAAGACAATGAACTGATGCTAACTCATTAGTGTAGCTGAGTAATGAGGTTTAAGACTGCTGACTACAGTGAGTCACTCATTCAGTGTTTGCATGATTTTGTTTACATTAACATGCGACTTCTGCTCTGTAATTCCATGATTTGCTAAAAAAAAATAGTTGTGCTACTGTATTTAGAAAATTAAATGGAAAATTTGTCACATGAGTAGAGAATCACAATTAAAGGTGCATTCCTCTTAGCCTAAGCCTTATTCAAGAGTAAGATAGGAGCCAGTCTAAACTTCAAAAAGCAATTTGGCAATGATGCACTCCCTTTCCAACTTAGCCAATGTCATAGTGTACACTGAACTCTTCTTAATTTCATGGGCTTCAGTGCCCTCCCCCAAAATATACTGCAAATCTAGAACAAGATGCTAAAAATGTAAAGGACACACATTTTTAACTAAAGATAGAGCTGTACAGAGAATAAGATGATTGTCTCAAGGATACTGAAGCAGATGCTGTCATCTCAAATTCTATACACTTTTTTACCTGTAAAGGAACACAAGACATTTTCATAATCTAGTTCTTCTGATCTTCCGTGTTTCAGCTAATTACAATGGCCTATAGCTCAAACTTAATATGTGAATTTTGTTCCACCTTTTTCTTTGTTACTATCACAGCTATCACTATAACTTTCAATGTTTAGGTCAAGTTTTTTTTCCTGTTTTCAGACAAATAAAGAGATTATTGTAGAAAAAAATCAGAAGATGGAAGAAGAAGAAATTACCAAGCCAAAGTTATCAGACTTCAAAAAGGTAAATTCTAGCACTGTTGATAGCAAATTATATACTGTAAGGCTTTTATTCACAGTGGATGGACAGTATTTTAAGACATGGTTTGTATCAATAGAAGATCAGGGAGGAGGACTGAAGTTAGATCTAATAGTGAAAAGTATGCATTTCATTACAGACAACAAATCATAGTTTAGTGGTTATTGTATCGCATTATGTAAAACTGATTTTCTTCATAGACTAAAAGAAAATACTATGAAATGCTCTTAAATGTGAACAAAAACACTTCAGAGATAATTGGAATGTGGAGATTCTGCACATTTTAACAAAAAGTATAGCTAAATTCCTGAGAACATTCAATGTGCAATATTTATTTTTTTCAGCATTTGATTTTTCTGCAATTGTGAATGTGAAACAGTTGAATTTGGTCATGGGCAATGCTTATTTATATGACAGTTTTCTTTGATCAATCACAACATTTTTCATTGGCCCTATAGATTTATATAAATATATACATAAATTCCCCAGAATGCTCTGATTACCTAAATGTGTTTTACTGTAACAGGTTACATAGCAAATTAGGTTTAAAGGTCAACATCAGAAAATCATAAAAGTAGCCTGATAGCATGTGCAATGTGAGAAATTAGAAGAAAACAGCTACCGAATGTTAAATGAAAAAGAGTTCTTTGCTTTTCATATAGTTCATGTCAGTTATATTAACATGCATTTCTATAATGTGGTCAGCAAGGGAGTGGACAATATAGGATTAAATGTTTCTGGGGATAGGGAGAAGGCACCAAAGTAAAAATGCAAAATAGTGTAGGGTGATAAAATCTTGAATGATCTTGAATAAAGATTACTTACTCTGACCAGATGAAATCTTACAGAAGTAAATTCTACAACTAATAGATTTTGGTTGAACAATTGCAGCATTTGAAGTAGTGTTGAATGACCTCCTTTTCTGAACATTTCAATATCATGTTGCCATTTATAAACTGGTCTTGGTTGATGTTAAATGGGGTAAAATCAGTATTTAGTCCTTTTTCGTCTTTTTCCTCGGATATCGTCAATAGTTTTTGACTGTGTTATTTAAATATATTAAATCCATTTGGAAAACATTTTTTGTTTTGTGGTACAAACTTCTTTTGAGTTTCACTGTAGCCTTTTTATTCTTTAACTTTCAGCTAAGCAAGGAAATATGATTACAGGAAATAGTGGATCTAAAAAAGATTCTCATTTATACCCACAGGGTTATGTAATGTTATTATTAATACTATTAATACCTCTGATTCAGCCTTGACATGATAAGGCTTTCCTCATGCTTGATGGATCTCAAATAATAAAGGATTATGTACATCTGTGAGAGCTTTTAATTTTATATGAAGCATTACAAACAATATTTTACAACAACATATTTGTAGATTTGGACCTTGACTGTGATTTTGCTTGCTGGAAATAGCAGTCCATTTTCTATGAGTTGCTGTGATTACCACTTCTGCACCTAAAAATAAAGACAAACACTTATCTGTGTTATTACTAACACCTTTGAAAGGCCCCAGTGCTTTCACACCCTGTGCTGGGTTGACATGAGACAGGAACAGATTTATGCATCATGAAAGCAATGTAGTCCTGCTGTGGTCACCTGGAGCCACATATTCCTGTGGCCTTCCTTCAATCATGACATAATTGAAACATTGTTGACTCAGTTGGCCTAAATTTTCATTTTAAGTTGTTGTGAAAGTTACATTATCTTTCAGACTTTGTCTGCCTGTATCTATCTCCTATTCATCTTTCTGTCTATACCTGTCTGTAAAATATTTGCTTATCTAGAGGTCTCCGAGTAGACGTGTGCACATTTATGAAACCTTGTACAAAATGTTTTGAAACCATCTGAAACCTTTTATGGTATTTTTATTTTTGCTTGGTTAAGGGACTAATTTGTATGCACCTCTGTTTTTTAGTCTTGTTAGCTTTTAAAATGTGTATCCTAATTGGGAAATGGGGGTTATAACTTTTTCATTTTATTATTGGTTTTATGTAATGATTATAAGCAGAACATGAAATTTCATTATAATTTAGGAGAGTTAATGGTAATTTAACACTGGGATTTTTCTTTTATCAACAGCAGTTGTTTCACACACTATACCAGAACTGGCTTCAAAGTATGAACATGGAATTTAATTAAAATTATATTCCTTGTTAAAGAAAATCTGTCATTTTTATATGTTTTTACAATTAGAAATTTCTATATTTCTCAGGTATTTCTTTTGACTAAAGGAAACATTACTGTTCTTTGTTTTCCAATTCTAATTTAAAAACCAATATATTCACATATGTCCTAAAATCCTTGTAAATATTATAATATATAATGTTCTATAAACATTATGTTTCTATAGAAATACAGATTTCTATAGAATTATCATTTTTTGCCATGTTCCAGCTCATACACTTTTGCAATAGCTGACCCAAGAGAACTGAAGGCATTAGCACATTAAAAGGCTTTCTGTCAAAACAACAGAATCTTTCCATACCACTCATCTGAAAATGGAGATGAATAAAAGTGTGGCCCAAATGGCTACAGAGATTAAATCAGTCTGATCAATTACTTCAGCTGTCCTGCTTGGAGTTTCCCCTAGCTAACTGTTAGGAATTTATCCCATTTGACCCCTGGTCTTAGTCATCATGGGCAACAGGCAAGATGATCCACTCTAAAGCTTCAACACTAGAAATATTATCAAATTGTACCAGGGTAATGCTCAGTGGGCTGAGAGTTGGTTTTCAGGGGCAGGCATTGTTTCAGATATTTAGTTAAAGACACTATTACTATAGTTTAAAAAAAAACATTTAGTGTTTTATGAGGATAAAAAGGAAGGCTACCACGGACCACCATTATTGGTATGCTTTGTTGCAAAGTCAGCTACTTCTGTTAATCTGCATTTATCATTCTTTCAAGATAGTTATAATAAACTTGAAGTGAAGGAGAATAGAAATCCTACAAAAGAACCAATTACATAATATACAGTGGCTAAAATATGCTATGTAGTACAGCTATGTAAATGGAAAATACTAAACTGGATTCAAAGTAGCTTGCATGAATACAGTTCCTTGCAAAAATATGTAGAGCCTTGTGCCGTTGCACTTCACATTTTGTTGGTTCAAAGTTCACAATAGCAATTAATGTTATATATACAAAATATTCCACACAGTCAAGGAAAATAAAAACAGAAGTAAATTAATAATAATTATGCAAGTATTCAAACTCATAAATTAATTTTGGTGTACTAAGCTACCTTAGTGAGCTGCACAATTAATTGACTGGCCATTGTGTGCAATAAAAGTGGTGTCAGAATGATGTCAGAATAAAAACATGCAGTTCCTTGGTCAAGTAGTGAATTTTAAACAAAGACCCTGCCATGTAATCTAAGGGACTTTCAGAGAAAATAAATGTTAAAGCCATTGAAAAAAGCAAAGATCAAAAGAACAAAAACTATTAAAGTCTTTTAATATCTCTTTATACACAATCTACTCAATCATCAAGAAATTGAAGGTGCTTCATATGACCCTGATGCTGCCTAGATCAGGCTGTTGCTCCAAACTGAGCAGCCAAGCAAAGAAGAAACAGGTGAAAAATAATGGCTGAGATGACTGAAAATGTCCCTGATTCAAAAATATCCCGGTTATGCAGATTTGCAAATCCATCTCAAATCCCACATAGAGTTCTGGTAAGACATGGTAAAACTGGACATTTTTGGTGTAACTGCAGAAGATGATAGCTGGTGCAAAACACAGCATCACCCAGTCAAAGCATTCCTATAGTCTGAGACAGGAATAAAAACAATCATCATAAGTAAAGGTACTTCTTTGAATCAAAGTTGCAACCAGATTGTGTCCAGGGAATATGAACACAGAAAGAGCACTGGACTCTGAGGTTTATTATAAAAAAATATTTAAAGAGTTTATTAGGAAATTCTGGTTTCCTGTGTTGTAGAATCTGTAGGCTAAATCATCTCTCCTGAGTAAGTAATGATTAATTAGATCAGAGAAACTGATTCGCATTCATTTTTGATCATCCATTTGTAGTGTCAAATTCGTCCTGCTCAGATCCATGTTTTTTTATTATGAAAAGTTCTCTGTCTTGAAAAAAGTTTTTAGTGTCTGGTTATAAGGATAGTATTGTGGGATTTCTATGTAGAAAGGGGGTTCTGATTACTCACTGACCTGTAAATATCTTTCCTAATGCAACCATTCTGTGATGCGTCTTTATTCTGTGAATTTAGGGGGTAACAATCAGTGGCAGCACTTATTTCCTATTTTTGGAATATTGATTTTGTCCATCAGTTAGATTTGAGCGTAGAAAATGTATAAATCCAACCAATGTTATTTTCTTAAATTATAATGCAATATGGAAAGTATGGAAGAAGGTAATATTGCAAAAATCAGCATAGGGCTGTAGCATTTTTTTCAAGTATTAATGTGCATATCTTTACAATAAAACAAAGAAAAGCTGGTTTCATCTTCTATTTCAAACTAGAGGATAACTGAAACATCACCATTATCTCAACAGAGCTGGCTATCTTGGTTTGAAATATTCTCCTTTTGTAGATGATCTTTAGAACAGTGGAGTGATTGACTACAAATTACTTAGAAATGGCTTTAAAACACTTGCAGACTCATGAGCATCAACAATTGTTGTTCTGAGGGTTTCCGAGAGCTCTTTTGATCTTGGCATGATGAAGCCACACATCAATTGACCACAGGTTTCTGGTGTTTAGATAAAGGCAATGCCCTCCAAGTTACTCTCTAATGATGTTCTAATCATCTGCACCTGTTTTGGTGGTTTAATTCTTATCTAACAATCCAATTTTAGGCATTTGATGCAATGATAAAGGTAGGGGTGTACTTACATTTTCCGCACAAGGAAATTGCATTTCTGTTGATTTTAATAGTACAAATGAGTGCAAAATGTGATTTTTCAATGTTATTTTTTAAAATTAGATCACCTTTATCTAATGGTGTTGAAATGCCGATCAAATATCCTTTTTGTCCAAAAATGTAAAAAAAAACAAACCTTTCCATGGGGTGTACTTACTGTTTCACACCACTGTATGTTTGTGTCTGTCTGCCATGTGATGGACTGGCATCCCATCCAGGGTGTATTCTGCCTTGAGCCTGTTGCTTTCCAGGATAGCCTTTGGCTCCCCGGTGACCATGGATTAGATAAAGTGGTTAGAAGATGGATGAACATATACATATTTGTGCATCATTTCATCCTTTTATGCTGAGGGTAAAGACATTTGTAATTGCAATATTAATTGTCATTATGCATCTGGCAACAGGGGATGTGAACTTTGGGTGACTTCATTTTTTAATTCTGCCCATTACTATTTAACAACGTTTGAGTTGTCCGTAGTGATGACGTACTGCCTTTTAAACACAAAGGCAATAACGTCAGAATTGCTTTGAGCAGCAATGTAGCCTAGATATATACTGGACCAAATATTAAAGAAAGATTGCATAAGTGAATATCTTAAAGCACATTTTAGAGGCCAAATACGTATTGAAATATATAACTAATGGACCTTTAATTTGCATTTGTGGTGGGGGGGGGTAAGTGATCCCATTATAATGTCATATGTGTGTTATTTTTCTCCATTCAGCCATCACTGTTGAATCCAACTGCTGCCTTGCCCTCAAAACCAGCCTCTGCTGTTGTTACTACGGTAAACCCCAAACCCAAAGCGGAGGTGGAAGAAGAGAGTAAATCTGAAGTAGAAGACCTCAAAGCACAAATAATGGAGCTACTTCACACAGTAGAATTGCTCAAAGAGCAACAGATGTAAGTGTGATTTTTAAAATACTTAGCTGTTCACCTTCTTCAAATGTAATTTAACCTCAATCACTAAACCTGCTACCAAATAGACCAGACAGACTGAATGGCCTCCTCATTTGCAATTTTTCTTATGTTATTAAAACTAACAACATGCTCAAAAAATTGTTGGAATCTTCAGTGACAAAGAATATAGTGATTTGTCTGAAAATACTGAAGACAGAAACCAAATGTCATTGATAGTTGCTGAATCCTGTGAAGGTATTCAAAGTCATGTTTCTTAGGTGTTTTGTTGCAAATAATTATAAGTACTTTGATTTGCTGTGATTAGCTTTGATTAGTTGTTAGGATTTAAGATTATTACTCAATCCCTCACTTTCTACTCTTAAACTGTCAATGTAAAATTCATTTCAAATTTCCATGTGTAAGTAACTAGACTTTTACACTGAAAGTCTTGTTACATTTTACATATATGTATAATGTATAGTTTTATATCTTCTTTTTTCACCTAAATCATGTTTTATTCCAAAATAAAGCAGGACTACATTGTTTATTCAGTGGTACATAGATTTGTCAGAAAAGTTCCAAATTTTAGAAAATGATTTGGCAATACCTGACTGTCTTTTATTGTTTCACTTTGGGGCCATTTAAATTGTAGATCATGAATTCTCTACCAAGTTGTAAAGAAAAAAAATGCTCTTTTGACTTCAGGAAAGAAATTGCTGAACTGAGAAATGATTTGGATGAAGAAAAGTCCAAACGAAAGGCCTTACAGGTAAAAAATGTTGATTTTGATATTCTGGAAGTTCAGTGACACACTGCATTTGTCATATTGATCAGAAGATTAAGAGGTGACAAAAGCACAGCAAAGGCAGTTTTGTTCAGGGGTTTTCACTGCCCAACTGAGCTGCTAGTTTTGACTGAAAGGCCCTCAATGAGCACTTACATGTACAGCGCTCTCTCTGGGATTGAAATGGAAAACCAAGACAGGATTTTTTTTGCCTTCTACACAGAGGTCAACTAAATGTAATCCTGTTCTCTTTTCATGGTTGAACATCTTTCGTTTGGGTGCATTAAATCTATAGAGATACAGTAAGGTCTATGAATTTTAAATCTGCTAATTGTATGTTTTCCACATTGCCTTCAGCTCTTAAGTGAAAATAGATTAGGTATATACATACTAATATACAGTGCAGTCCATAAGTATTTGACAGTGACACAATTTTTGCTGTTTTGACTTTGTACTCCAGCACATTGGATTTGAAATAAAACAATGACTATGAGGTTAAAGTGCAGAATGTCAGCTTTAATTCGAGGGAATTTACATCTGTACTGGGTGAACCATATAGGAATCACAGCCCTTTTTATACATAGTCCCCCCAAAAGTAATTGAACAATTGGCTGCTCAGTTGTTTCTTGGCAAGCTGTGTTGTTTCATCATTAGTTCATGCACAAGAGAGAAAACAAAAGGTCTAGAGTTAATTCTAGATGTGGCATTTGCATCTGGAGTCTGTCGCTGTTGTCCGCTTACAGACTGCACTGTATGTACGTTTCTATATTAGTCTTCTTAAAAAGAAAACTAATTATGGGATATAGGATCATATCTAATTAAGCTTCTACTTTTGAACCCTTTTTTGTCCACATATCATTTTGGCAAAAGAATGTCTTAATATTGCAGTGCAGTGACCACTTTTTATCACTAAAACTAAATCCCAGTTAGTTTGTTTTTAATTTTGTTCAAAATCCATCTTCCTCTCCCGATCTCTTTCTTAGGCAGTAGTAAACTGTTTTTCTTCAGAAAAAGCAGAGGAAATGTGAAATCTCTCACACAACCTCTCCTCCCACCCGAAAGTAGTCCCAGTAAATATTTTTCAGAATTCTGTTCACAAAAATCTGGATTAGGCAACAATGGTCCTTGATTGCTTGGTGTCTGGAATTTTAAATGCACCAGATAAAAAAAACAGCTAGTTTGAGTTATCCACTTAATTTGTTCAGTTCAATTGGTTTACGTAATTTAGGCCTGAGATTAGATGGAAAAAAAAATGAAAATGTTTTTCAAATCATTGCAAGGTCTAATGCAAAAATATATAGTTGTATCCAATACATTTCTGAAATTTAAAAATATATATATATAAAATTGTGGAATTTGTTGATCTGATAAATGTCTCTGTCAAAATAAAATCTTACCTAAGCAGTGACAGTGCAATTTAGGATGGTGTGCTCATGATGTTGCTACACACGCCACTCCCAATTAATAAGGTTATGAAACATGGTACATGTGCAGGAAAATGTTTCATATCAGACAGTGGGAGCTAAACACTTCTTATATTTTGGTATTGATTTTCCATTGATTGCACACAGTTGTCCTTTATCTGTTTTGCAAACCGTTACAAGGTCACCCTTTTAATAAAAACAATGTATTGTGTTTTCAGTTTCATAAAGATGGATAAATAATTCATTAATGTATCTGAATAATGTAGGCAGCCTTCTTTGAAAGTTATTAATCTCTACAGTACTTTGTTTAATAAATATGTATCTCAGTATACTATTAGGGTTTTATTCTGGAAATCAGATTTTTTTTTCTTCCTTACCTCCCTTACAGATGGAGATAGAAAGATTAAAGAAGATGGTTCAATCAACATGAGGACTGATACAATAAGCCGCCGTTAAAAACAATGCCACTGTGACAACAGAGGAAGGCACTAATTACAACTAGGAGGAAAATATTTGCCTAATTCTTTTAATAATCATTACCGTACTCTACACTTCTAAGAAAATGTCATTTTTTTGCACATAATAGCGATTTTCTAGTTATAGAAAAATGCAGTTCAATTGTGGATGTAAATGTTCTTTTTTTGCCATAATATTAATTGAGGCCTTACTAGCTACTGTGCTGGACTTGCAATCTTCACATTCATTGATGGATGGTTGAGGTTTGCTTTCAATACTACTGAATCTGTAAAAAGGGATAGGGGTTCTTAGTTTTTTATTATTATGAAATGCTGTCAGTAGATTTTAAAATGCATATGTGCTATAATTGCAGTTATAAAGTATGTTAGCTTATAAAAATATATTAAAAGAAGGTAATATACCCTTGTAGCTGTATCAGTGACGAATCAATTGCTCTGTCTAAAGGGAAGTATAATTTTGTATTCTAACATTACTGTCCAGGGTAACACTATTGTGCCTGTATAAATCATGTAGTATAGGTTAGCATGGGCGTATATCAGAAAGATTTCAAGTGAAAGCTTCAGGTATTTTTGATTATCTACTGATATTCTTATTAGTAGAAATAAAAGAAATACTTTTTTTCCCTCAGTTTTATATAGTTCTTTAAGGTAAAAGAAGAAAATATTCTGTTCTGCCCAGGATATGTATATATATACAGCCAACACCAAAAATGGTTTGTACACACTTGAGTTTCATTGAAGAATAGCTGCTTTGAAGAAACAGTTTTTCCTCAGTTAGTGTTTCAGTACAATAACCGTGATAGCAGTTCCGATATGCGTTGTGCATCTCGGTTACTTCAAATATAATGTTCTCTGAAGAATGAAGCATCCTTTTTCTTAAACTGATCAGTGGCTGTTCTGTTGGCTCATTTAGAATGTAGCTTTTAAAAAGATTATCGTGTATTTGAAGATAATTTTTATAAAGAAACTGAAATTTATTATGATATTGGGAAAAAATGCAACATTTACAGAAGCCTTAGGAAATACCCATCTTTATATAATTTTTGGAAATTCATTTAATTTAAAGCAAATGCAAACCTCAGTTACTATTAAGATGATCCTTGTCAGTGGTTATTCTATGAATGAGACTGAGAAATGGGTTTTAGTAGCTTGCGCTAAAGCAAGTAACACTGTAGATAATCACAAGGAAAAATATTGTTCTGTGCAATTTTGAGTTGTAATGGCTAGTATTATCAGTAAATTTTATAAAAGGGAAGTCTTAAAGTCCTTAGAACGATTGCTCAAAGAAATTGTTTAAATAAATTACTTAATAATGCTGTGATTTGACTAATCACTGGTATAAGATTTCAAGCACATTTGCTGATTGTTACATTTTGGTGCCATTAGATGCTGAATCTCCATTCAAAATATACTAATGTTCTAGATAGCAGTGATTCTTCTTTTGCTTAAAACTTCACTCCACAGCGTATTGTATGCCCTTGCCCTTTTCATTTTTAAACATGTGTTTTCTAAATATCACAAATTTTTTTTCTATAATTTCTTTTTAAAATGCCAGATTCCACCTTTAAGGCAAAATTGAACAAGGAAAGAAAGAGTAAATTAACCCCCATCGAGAGCTCTGTTATTCCAGGGCTTTTTTTTCTTCTGGAAAGCATTCAAAGTGCTGATTGTAAGCCTCTATTCTCTGGGTGTATTAGAAATGCTTTTGAACTTTTGATCTCAAAATAGTGCACAAGGATCTTTTTTTCTGAGATCGAAAAGGCATCTCCCATTTGATTATAATTATCCCTTAATCACAAGGTTTCTGCTTGATTCAAAATCTTGTGGAGAAGCTGAAACAACATAAAGGTTTAGGAGTATCTGAGTTCATATGAACATAAAAATGTAATGACTTATTTGCAATACTTCTTTTTTTCTTGTTTAAACCTAACTAGAAACCTCATACTGCAAAACAAACATTAACAGCACTACAAATGATGACTTCTGGCAAGAGTGATATACACTAAAAAAAACAGGCTAAGTTCCCCATGCAGTCTTTCTTCTCCAGCAAAGCTGTTCACACACAGACTTTACTTTCCTACAGATCTACACTCACTTGGCTCTCTGCTTAACTGAAGATTCCCATCTAAGATTTCCTTGGTCTTACCCTTCCTACATAATCACCCTTCAGTCACTCTACTTAAATTACATTTTCTTCATGCAATGCGAGGAGAAGCAAACCGCTTCAATATAGAATGTGTTTTATTGCATTATTGAATAATAACTCATTCTAAAAACAGTATGTAGAAATGTAGAAATTATAAAATATGCTGTTTTATAGAATGAATCCAATTTTTTTGTCTCATACAGCATTTATCAGTCTTCAAAAATATATACTTTTTTTAAATGCTCAAGTGGTTTTGAGTAAGTGAAATGCTGCCTTGCAGAAATTAGAAGTACATAAAGTTCAAAGCTATCTAGCCTTTTGTTGGCAACAGTTGGATGCTATACCAGTTGCCTAATCATAATGTGAAGTGCTCACATTTCAGCTTCAGCAAATGTTTTGCCCACATATCATGTAAAAGTAACATATTTCTCTAATAGCTCTTTTTTTAAATGATGGGCTGGAAACATTCCATTTAAAAGAGAAGTGACAGAACTTACTCATTATGTGTATTGTCCATTCCCAATGATTGTTAAATGTTATAAAATTGCATGAATTACTGAGATTGTTTTCAAACACAAAATAAATATAGCTTTCTAAGTCTTGAATATTTCTGTTGAATCTAGAGTGCCATTTTTTATTTTGAATATTTGTGAAACTTAAAACATAGTAAAGGCTCCAAACCCCAAGAGGAGATTCATGCCATCCAATATGCATGCTTGCTAGTAGCGAAATCCAAGAATCTCTTCAGATTTTGAGCTTCAATATCATGGCAAGGAAACATGTTCCAGATTCCCACAACTTTTGTGTGAAAAAATACCTCCGTATTTTTTTGGTTTCTGCACTTCACATATTTCACATGTGTCCTATAGTTTCTGTTCCAGTGTAAATTCTGAATAATTATTTGGTTAACTTTCAATGCTCTAAAATACTTGAATGATTATTGGTACATTTGAGGTCTTGAAATACCTCTTCTTACAAATGATCTTTTTATGAAAATTCAGTACTACAAAGCATGTGAATTGTTACCCACATTTGAAATTACGAAAGCCAACTTCAAAACTATGAAGAAATTATGCCAAAAAAAGTTCAAAACCTCCAGCAAATGTAGAGAGTAAAGAAGAAGGTGTTATACAACTTGTTTCATATCAAATGTATGCATCATATTCCGCTAACTAGATATTGGTAAGAGTGGCAGGAGAGATGTCACATAGTTCACCATGTCTTGCTTCATTTGTTGTTTACTATTGTATGCACCCTTACTTCTCATGTAAGAAAATTTGTGATTTAGACTTTATAATGGACCGTAAAGGTGTTAAGAACATGGAAATTGGGGAGTGTGTATGTAATCACACAAAAAGAAAATGAAGATGTTAGTGTACAGTACTGTACTTAGGTATGATTAATGATGTCTAACTAGGCAGGCAATGTTTTTTATAACTAAAACAATTTGGGGTCTGGAACAGATTGTCATTTTTCACCATAAAGAGATTTTTCTTTTTGTGAATTGTCACTAGATAAACAGGTATCTGGGAACACATTACATTAGTCAAAAGGTGTGTGGTTGTACTTCACTTAGTTCACCTGGTAGTCTTCTCTGTTCAGCACTAAAAACATTCAGTCATTCAAAAAATATTGTAAGAAACCTGTGTCTTAGTTAATGATTTTCTAAAGAGTCATTAAGATCAAACAGTAAATTTAGTATTCCATGAAATGATAACTATTAATATTGTGAAATTATTAGCAGAGAACTTGTGGTCCTTTTCCAGGAAAAGAGGAGCTCATGGTGACAGACTCTACTGCTGGGTATAGAAACAAGAGGTGTCAGACAGACGTAGTAAAGAAAAGTTCACTCCAATTAGACTTTTTCAATTCGAAGGCTAAAGTTTTTTTTGTTCCTGGATTAAATGAGAAAATATGTTTCACTTATCAATCAGCATGTATGTTTATCCTTGAAAACCTAAAATGTAAGAATCTTGCGTGCAGAGCCTTATCAAGCACAGTCTGAAAATCTATCTCATACATTCTTATCTGCTTGTATACTTTATGCTAACAACTGTTTACAGCTTAGTAAAGTATGACTCGCCTTTTCTACATCCATTTGTTACCGTATACATTATTAGTTCTGATGAACATTTAGAATAAAAATGTGTAGTATCCCTATCTTGTCTACTGAAAGAACTTAACAGTCTTCAAAAAACATTTTTTCACTGAATGACAGCAGCATGGAGCAATTAGGGTACTGTACTTCCAAAGGGAGGGATATGGACACACAGGTGGAATGCTGGTATTTTACACATAAGATACGTACTTTACTCTTAATTCCTCTGTCAGTGTGCTATGGTATAAAATGTAGAGCAACAGGTTTTCAACGTAAGTTTTCTGACTAAGTAAAAGAATATAAAGTGCAATTCTTAGAATAGCGTTATGACATCTGTTTATGTGAAGTGTCTCTATTATCTTTAACATGTCTAGATTAGTTTTAGTTGAACATTTTTAGTCACTCTGATATAATATATATTGTCTTTTTGTACATGGTAAATAGCCAAATTGAATATTATTTTTAACATTAAACATGAATCAGCCATTTCTCTTTTATCATTTAATTTTAGATAATTATGGTAACTTATCTCAGAGAAACTTGATATCCTCCTGTAGCGACAAGGTCTATTAAACTTAGTTATTAAAATTTTCTAATACTATTGGTGTTGCCTTGACCAAGCAAGCAGCTTGGTATTTCTCTGTAAGTGAAGAGGAATGTGGCTAATTGGCCCCTCTGATAAGAGACATCATAAAGCTGTGACCATCGCTGAACCATATAATGAAATATAGTGCAGATACTGTAGGTTGCATCAACTGGTCTGTTTCCTCCAAAGACTACTGGTCCATTGTAACTGTTAATCACCCAAAGGATGATTCACCAGTTGGGGATCTATAGGGTGGATACTGGAACTTTACACGATGGCATCCTGTCCAATCACCAGCTGTGATGTCGCGCCTTAAAAGCTAGCACCCAAGTCAGTTTGGCTGGTTAACTCACTGGCTCCTTCCCTCTCTGACTTAATGAGCAATCTGACTTTCCAGCCATGTGACTGCAAGCAGTCCAAGTCCCTTCACTTGGCCATTTCACAACACCAGGCCAAGAAAGTGAGTCAGTAAAAAATACAGTATTCTGCCCAAGATATTCTTTCTGAAACAAGAAATCTTGTGTTTGCAAACCCACTGTTATTTTTGCCTGATCAATGAAATAAGACAGCTGGATTCTTTTGTCAACATTCAAGCATATTCAGCATCAATCTAGCTGTAGCTGGGACTAACTGAGTTGTCCAAACTGTCTACCTTGCGCCCTAGCCTCAGAAGACAACTGTGCACAGACAGTCAGTTTGATGCTCCTTTTTGCAGAGCTGACTGAGACCTAATGCTAGGCGAGGCTCTCTCTCTTCTTTCTGCACCGCAGCTGCCAAGTTGGACCACGGACCATCACAGTGGGTTCTGTTTTCACAATGGGAAACTTGAACTCATCAAGATCATTTGTGTCTTTTGAGTACAAAACCTCATTATTCAAATTATGCTTCTCGAGAGTTGAATTATTTTTCCAAGCACATTTCATGTTTAGTTGACAATGGTAAATCCATATCCGAGAATATGAATGTGATGTAATTGTATGAGACTGATAAAACCTATGAGGTAGACCATAACACGTTATAGTCTAAATATTTTAACTCCACAGTTAACTCTTCCCTTTGTAAATGCTGAATGAATGATCATCTTTTCATATCACAGCAGATCGTTGCACAAAATATTCTATTATATTTGTTGTTGTTTGTTATGCTTGTTTTTGGTTATATCAATTAAATGCAAATTTAGGAATCTGTGTGTGACTGTTTAAATTTTTATTTTCTGAAAGTTGTCGAGTACTGCTGCATTTTACTGTTTCAATTTCAGATTGTTACAGTAATTTAAAACCCTCACATCACTCTTGTATTATTTGCCATTGTAAACCTGTAAAATAA